GGTCATAGGAAACCTGGTTTCTCTATGGTTCCCAAGAGCAGCGTTCTGGTTGGCTATGCTGCATCAAGGAGATCCTGGCAGCCATCTTGGATCACGCAGAGTCTTTTTAAGTCTCTGCCCCCAAATTTTGGTGCACAGTTACAAAGTGGCTAGTGTAGGGAGTGTATACCCATCTGCTAGGGACAGGACTAGCGGTAGGGAGAGGTCCCGGAGAGTTAGGGAAAACTCAGGGCTCAGGACTGCACTTCCTCAAGCTCCCTCTTGGATTGGACCGGCAAAACTGCATTCCTTCTCCCTTGGCAATCGCTATCTTCATCTCAGGACTGCTACAGCTGACTCTGCACTGACTCTCCACCTCAGAGATAATTCACCGCGGCGATGAGCAATATATAGATCAGTTACTGCACTCCAGGTCTCTGTGTGAATACCACCGTCTCACCACGCTGCACCTACCCAACACACCCATATAAAAAATCAGGTACTTACCAGTCCATGGATTGCAGTGCTGTAGGTCCTACCATCCTGGATGCGGTAGCCAGCCATGACTTCTTGATGGATCGCAACCAGCTCCACACTGGGCATGCACGGGAATGTAGAGACACTGGTCCTGCAGCTACGGACAGGGAGGTGAATGAAGTTCCACTTTACAAACAAGATGGCTTTTATTCCACTTGAACTTCAGCTTTAAACAAACCCGTATTTTTCTTTCCCGTAGAAATAGCGATGATATTGAAGCCGGTCACCTCAGAGATAATTCACCGCGGTGATCAGCAATATATATATCACTTACTGCCCTCTGGGCCTCTGTGAATACCACCCCCTCACCACGCTGCACCTACCCAACACACCCATATAAAAATCAGGTACAAATGTATGTAGGCATAGGACACACCCCCTGCCACGCCATAAAAAAATCAGGTACTTATCTTTTTGAGATGGGAACAGAGGACACCTATTAGCAAATGTATGCAGGCATAGGACACACCCCCTGCCACGCCATAAAAAATCAGGTACTTACCAGTCCATGGATTCTAGCAAATGTATGTAGGCATAGGACACCCCCCCCTGCCACCATAAATATCAATTACTTACCAGTCCATGGATTCCAGTGCTGTAGGTCCCTACCATCCTGGATGCGGTAGCCAGCCATGACTTCTTGATGGATCACAACCAGCTCCCCACTGGGCATGCACGGGAATGTAGAGACACTGGTCCTGCAGCTACGGACAGGTAGGTGAATGAAGTTCCACTTTACAAACAAGATGGCTTTTATCCCTCTTGAACTTCAGCTTTAAACAAACCCGTTTTTTTCTTTCCCATAGAAATAGCGATGATATTGAAGCCGGTCACCTCGGAGATAATTCACCGCGGCGATGAGCAAATATATATATTAGTTACTGCACTCCAGGTCTCTGTGTGAATACCACCCCCTCACCACACTGCACCTACCCAACATACACATATAAAAATCAGGTACAAATGTATGCAGGCATAGGACACACCCCCTGCCACGCCATAAAAAAATCAGGTACTTACCATCTTTTTTCATAGGCTTTTTTGAGTTTGGGCAAGAACACAGGGGCCCCATGATCCCCTATTGCCCGAGGGGCCCCATGAGTTGTCAGTCTGCCCCTGGTCCCTACCATCCTGGATTCGGGAGCCAGCCATGACATCCTGATGGATCACAACCAGCTCCCCACTGGGCATGCACGGGAATGTAGAGACACTGGTCCTGCAGCTACAGACAGGGAGATGAATGAAGTTCCACGTGACGAACAAGATGGCTTTTATCCCTCTTGAACTTCAGCTTTAAACAAGCCCGTATTTTTTCTTTCCCATAGAAATAGCGATGATATTGAAGCCGGTCACCTCGGAGATAATTCACCGCGGTGATCAGCAATATATATATCAGTTACTGCACTCTGGGCCCCTGTGAATACCATCATCTCACCACGCTGCACCTACCCAACACACACCCATATAAAAATCAGGTGCAAATGTATGTAGGCATAGGACACACCCCCTGCCACACCATAAAAATCAGGTACTTACCAGTCCATGGATTCTGGCAAATGTATGTAGGCATAGGACACACCCCCCTGCCACACCATAAAATATCAAGTACTTACCAGTCCATGGATTCCAGTGCTGTAGGTCCCTACCATCCTGGATTCGGGAACCAGCCATGATGTCCTGATGAATCACAACCAGCTCCCCACTGGGCATGCACGGGAATGTAGAGACACTGGTCCTGCAGCTACGGACAGGTAGGTGTGCAGGGCAAGCAGTGTAATCCTTGCCTAGGCGAAGTTCCACTTGACGAACAAGATGGCTTTTATTCCTCTTGAACTTCAGCTTTAAAAAAGCCCATATTTTTTCTTCCCATAGAAATAGCGATGATATTGAAGCCGGTCACCTCGGAGATAATTCACCAGGGCAATGAGCAATATATAGATCAGTTACTGCACTCCAGGTCTCTGTGTGAATACCACTGCCTCACCACACTGCACCTACCCGACACACCCATATAAAAATCAGGTCCCCTCCTAGCCCATGGATTCCAGTGCTGTAGGTAACTTCCTGATGAATCACAACCAGCTCCCCACTGGGCATGCATGGGAATGTAGAGACACTGGTCCTGCAGCTACGGACAGGGGGGTGTGCAGGGCCCCTGTGAATACCACCGCCGTACCACGCTGCACCTACCCAACACACCCATATAAAAATCAGGTACTTACCATCTTTTTTCCAGTCCATGGATTCCAGTGCTGTAGGTCCCTCCCTACCATCCTGGATTCAGGAGCCAGTCATGACTTCTTGATGGATCACAACCAGCTCCCCACTGGGCATGCACGGGAATGTAGAGACACTGGTCCTGCAGCTACGGACAGGGAGGTGAATGAACTTCCACTTGATGAACAAGATGGCTTTTATTCCTCTTGAACTTCAGCTTTAAACAAGCCCGTATTTTTCTTTCCCCGTAGAAATAGCGATGATATTGAAGCCGGTCACCTCGGAGATAATTCACCGCGGCGATGAGCAATATCATTTTAGGGCCATTTCCGATAATGGGGATCTCATTGGCTCCAAACCATTACAACAGAGGACAAATGAAATACGAGGGAGCCGGGGCCATCTGTCGAGCAGGTAGATTGGAATATTCTTCGCAGGCCCGTAATGTATATAATAATGTTTACGGTGTGAATTGGCTGATAGAACCTCGCAGCTGCGCTCTCCGTAACGGCGTGTAATGGAAGCGCCTCGGACAGGTGGGCTGTTAAAATCCTCCTTTCCTAATGCGCCGCCGAGAAATGTACCTAATGATCGACGAATGGAAATGGCGGCGTACAACATGCCGGGGGAGCGGATCGAGCCTTCCTTTCACATCTCCACGCTGAAATAGAGCATGGACGGAACGCGGAGCCGAAGGGAGAGCTTTCACTGCGCCCAAGTTTAGGCAAAAATTACAACACTTTGGGAAGAAGAAATTAAAGTGGGTTTTGATGGATTATTTTTAAATTTTTTTGCGGTGAGCTTGGAGAAGGTTCATCGGCTGCCTGGGAGGAGTGACTTTAACTGGTTTTGCTGCGAAATTGTAGTTTTTGCCGTTTTTCAAATTTCCTCTAAAGCAGAAGATCTTGAGTGTGTACTATCAAAAAAAGGAAAAGGTCCAATGGCCTTTCTCCCTGTTTTCTGCCCAACTTTCTTGTATTTCTTTAGGTCTTGTATTGTACTGAGATGATCGTTTTTCTGTAGTATGCCGACACCTAGTGGTGGTTTTTGGATCATTGCAACTTGCTTACTAATGTGGTTTTGGTATCTTCCTCTGTCCTCCCCTTCTGTTTAGGGTTAGTTAGTTTAGTCTTCTTCTTCTTCCATGTTCCCTCAGTTATTGGAAGTGATTTACTAAAACTATACCTCCCAGATTTTTGAGATGGGAACAACCTATTAGCAAATGTATGTAGACGTAGGACACACCCCCGCCACACCCCCTTAAAGGAGAATTATTAAAAAAAAAGATTAAAGTGTTATTAAACCCACAACCAGGAGTGGACTGACAACTCATGGGGCCCCTGGGTAATAGGAAATCATGGGGCCCCTGTGTCCTTGCCCACACTCAAACCACACCCAAAAAAGCATATGAAAGGTACCAAGGGCATCTCCTGGGGCCCCCTACTGACCCCAGGCCCTAAATGGTCAGTCTGCCCCTGCCCACAACAGTACAATCAGTCTGTAGATGCACTAAAGCATGCTTGTTATACTCACTGTGGAACCAAAAGGGGTTTATCCTCTGAATTTTGTAATGATCCTCCCCTTCTTCCAGTGTCTCCCTCTTATCTCCTGATATGACATAAAATGTGGAGTCACTCTACACAAGCTAAGTTTGGTGTGTATTGCTAGAGAGGTTTTTTTTTTTTTTTTTTCTTGGGAGAGTGCATGTGATCAGCACAGGGTCAATCAGGGTCTGTCCGGACAGAGGGTCAGGGGACCTGCATCCTCCTAGAGCAAAATAAAAACTCCTCCTGCAAGCTTTAACCAGTGCTCGACCGGACACTGATAGAAGTCACAAGACTACTATATACTTCTGATGAGAAAAAGGTATTTAGCAGTTTATATTTACCAAAATAATTGCATTTCCATGTTCTGTGTACTGTGGGAGACCAGATATAGTGAATGCGGGGTCCGGGGAGACCGGATATAGTGAATGCAGGGTCCGGGGAGAGCGGATATAGTGAGTGCGGGGTCCGGGGAGAGCGAGATATATAGTGAATGCGGGGTCCGGGGAGAGTGGATATAGTGACTGCGGGGTCCGGCTAGAGCAGATATAGTGAATGCGGGGTCCGGGAAGAGTGGATATAGTGAATGCGGGGTCCTGGGAGAGCGGATATAGTGAATGCAGGGTCCGGGGGAGAGCGGATATAGTGAATGCAGGGTCCGGGGAGAGCGGATATAGTGAGTGCAGGGTCCAGGGAGAGCGGATAAAGTGAATGCGGGGTCCGGGGAGAGTGGATATAGTGAATGCGAGGTCCGGGGAGACCAGATATAGTGAATGCAGGGTCCAGGGAGAGCGGATAAAGTGAATGCGAGGTGCGGGGAGAGTGCATATAGTGAATGCAGGGTCTGGGGAGAGTGGATATAGTGAATGCGGGGTCCGGGAAGAGTGGATATAGTGAATGCAGGGTCTGGGGAGAGTGGATATAGTGAATGCGAGGTCCCGGGGAGACCAGATATAGTGAATGCAGGGTCCGGGGAGAGCGGATAAAGTGAATGCGAGGTGCGGGGAGAGTGCATATAGTGAATGCAGGGTCTGGGGAGAGTGGATATAGTGAATGCGGGGTCCGGGAAGAGCGGATATAGTGAATGCAGGGTCTGGGGAGAGTGGATATAGTGAATGCGAGGTCCGGGGAGACCAGATATAGTGAATGCGGGGTCCGGGGAGAGCGGATATAGTGAATGCGGGGTCCAGGGAGAGCGGATAAAGTGAATGCGAGGTGCGGGGAGAGTGGATATAGTGAATGCAGGGTCCGGGGAGAGTGGATATAGTGAATGCGGGGTCCGGGGAGAGCGGATATAGTGAATGCGGGGTCCGGGAGAGCGGATATAGTGAATGCGGGGTCCTGGGAGAGCGGATATAGTGAATGCTGGGTCCGGGGAGAGCGGATATAGTGAATGCGGGGTCCGGGGAGAGCGGATATAGTGAATGCGGGGTCCGGGGAGAGCGGATATAGTGAATGCGGGGTCCGGGGAGAGCGGATATAGTGAATGCGGGGTCCGGGGAGAGCGGATATAGTGAATGCGGGGTCCGGGGGGAGAGCGGATATAGTGAATGCGGGGTCCGGGGAGAGCGGATATAGTGAATGCAGGGTCGGGGGAGACCGGATATAGTGAATGAGGGGACCGGGGAGAGCGGATATAGTGGATGTGGGGACCGGGGAGAGCGGATATAGTGAATGCGGGGACCGGGGAGAGCAGATATAGTGAATGCGGGGTCCGGGGGAGAGCGGATATAGTGAATGCGGGGTCCGGGGAGAGCGGATATAGTGAATGCATCAACTGCCTCATCAGAGTGCCCGCTTACATCAACTGTCCCCATCAGAGTGCCCCTTTACATCAACTGCCTCATCAGAGTGCCCCCTTACATCAACTGCCTCATCAGAGTGCCCCCTTACATCAACTGCCTCATCAGAGTGCCCCCTTACATCAATGGCCTCAGAGTGCCCCCTTACATCAATGGCCTCAGAGTGCCCACTTACATCAATGGCCTCAGAGTGCCCCCTTACATCAATGGCTTCAGAGTGCCCCCTTACATCGATGGCCTCAGAGTGCCCCCTTACATCAATGGCCTCAGAGTGCCCGCTTACATCAATGGCCTCAGAGTGCCCCCTTACATCAATGGCCTCAGAGTGCCCCGCTTACATCAATGGCCTCAGAGTGCCCCCTTACATCAATGGCCTCAGAGTGCCCCCTTACATCAATGGCCTCAGAGTGCCTGCTTACATCAATGGCCTCAGAGTGTCCCCTTACATCAATGGCTTCATCAGAGTGCCCCCTTACATCAACTACCTCATCAGAGTGTCCCCTTACATCAATGGCTTCATCAGAGTGCCCCCTTACATCAACTGTCCCCATCAGGGCTCATTAATTTGTGCACTCTTAGAGGTCTGGGGGGGGGGCACAATAGCCCCCCCAGCACCTCCCTGGATCTGGGCCTGCCAATTGGGCTTATTCGTAGATTAAACTTCATGAAGTGACTTCACGGAGCGCAGTGATGCTATTTCCACTTTAAAGGGAATCTCAGCTCACTTTCCCTCCCAGGACAATTAGATGGGCACCCAAAGATGACTCAGAAGATAAGGATCCCTTCAAATGGCAAAAATGTATTTATGCAAGGTTATTAAAAAAAAAAAAAAAAAAGCAGCTAGAGTCCAAAACTACTTTGAGAGCCAGAAATTATTTGTTCAGGGCCGTGAAATGGTCGAAGCTGTTCTTGGCTCCTTTCTCAGGCAGCCTTATATATTCATTTTCTCAAAAGCCTGAATTATCCCCCTTTTTATTTGAGAGCTCCCATCTCTGGGCACCTTTATGAGCTGCAAAAAGTACAAAATATGTATGTAAATTAAATAACTTTTATTCTGCTTCAACAGCTGAGGGCCGCTTGATAAATTGTGCGGTGCGCTAAGACGTTCCACCAGACAATTCGGAGCCTTTCAGACGTCGTGAATAGGGCTTTGCTTATTCTCTGGGCTAATAAATTTCTGTGATTTAAGCTCTTTTAGTGCAATTTCCTCCACAAGCTGCAGCAGTTACCAATTTTCTTCATCTTTTGTGGTGGAAATGGACCAAAAGGCTTTCAAATTCCCCCCCCCCCCCCCCTTTTGTGTTCTCTTCCATACAAACCATTTCAATTTTTTTAATCTTGAAAATTATGAAAATTACCATAAAAGGTTTTTTTTTTAGAATTAATAATACTGTGGAATAAAATCAACAAATAAACCAAAAAAATTTAGCAAAGCGAAAAAGCAGTACAGATGTGGTTTGGACGGGTAATTTTGTCTGAAAGCTCACTTTAGAGGGTTGCATTTTTAAAATGGTCTATGCTGAATTGGCCGGTTGATGCTTTTCTACTGCCGAAAGATTTATTGGCTTTATAAAGTGCATTGGCCATCCACATTCAGCTGTATGGTCCTCCAATCAAGTCCCATTTGCAGTCATCCATTCAACCTTTGGGCGTCCCATCATTCAGTGTGAAATCTCTGATCTCAGTAACACTCGATGTATTTGTATAATGGTCAATGTTACATTTTGGGGATATGTGTTGGTGGTGGAGAGCTGGACATCAAAGTGGACCAAAATCAGGCGTCAAAATCCAGGGCCATTGATAATTTCTTTTTCTGCCACAATGGTGGCAGCCATTCATGGAACATCTGAACATCTCATCATTCAATGGGAATTCCAGCTCTCAGTAACATTTAGGGTACTGAAAAATCATGGGGCCCCTGTGTCCTTGCCCAAACTCAAACCACACCCAAAAAAGCCTATGAAAGGTACCAGGGGCATTTCATGGGGCCCCCTACTGACCCCTCGGGCAGTGCCTGAGTGCCTTAATGGTCACTCCATCCCTGGGTATTGGTAATGGTAATGTTGGGTTACATTTTTTGGGTTAGCTTTGGTAGTGGAAAGCTGGACCCCAAAGTACACAAAAATCAGTTGTTAAAATCCGATCCTTTTTTTTCTGAGGTATTTAGCCTTGGGCAGCAACGGAGGGAGGAGAGTGAAAAAAGTACAAAACAATTAGACCAATCAGGCTCAAAACCCCAATTTTTTTTAAAATCAGGAGTCTCATCATTCAAAATCCAGGGTAACATTGATAAAATTAGCTTTGTTGGACAGCTGGACCCCTGCCACATTTGGTGGCAGCCATTCATGGAACATCTGAACATCTCATCATTCAATGGGAATTCCAGCTCTCAGTAACATTTGGGGTATTGGTAATGGTAATGTTGGGTTGCATTTTTTGGGTTAGCTTTGGTAGTGGAAAGCTGGACCCCAAATACACAAAAATCAGTTGTTAAAATCCAATCCTATTTTTTTCTGAGGGATCCAGCCTTGGGCAGCAACGGAGGAGAGATAGTGAAAACAATTACAATCACTGGACCCCAATTAGACCAAAATCAGGCGTCAAAATCCAGGGCCATTGATAATTTCTTTTTCTGCCACAATGGTGGCAGCCATTCATGGAACATCTGAACATCTCATCATTCAATGGGAATTCCAGCTCTCAGTAACATTTGGGGTATTGGTAATGGTAATGTTGGGTTGCATTTTTTGGGTTAGCTTTGGTAGTGGAAAGCTGGACCCCAAAGTACACAAAATCAGTTGTTAAAAAAATCCAGGGCCATTGGGCAGCAATAATTTCTGTTCCTGCCACAATTGGTGGCAGCCATTTCTTTTTTCATGGAACATCTGAACATCTCATCATTCAATAGGAATTCCAGCTCTCAGTAACATTTGGGGTATTGGTAATGTTCGGGTTGCATTTTTTGGGTTAGCTTCAGTAGTGGAAGCTGGACCCCAAAGTACACAAAAATCAGTTGTTAAAATCCGATCCTATTTTTTTCTGAGGGATCCAGCCTTGGGCAGCAACGGAGGAGAGAAAGTGAAAACAATTTCAATCACTGGACCCCAATTAGTTTAAAATCAGCGTCAAAATCCAGGGCCATTGATAAATTCTGTTCCTGCCACATTGGTGGCAGCCATTCATGGAACATCTGAACATCTCATCATTCAATGGGAATTCCAGCTCTCAGTAAGATTTGGGGTATTGGTAATGGTAATGTTGGGTTGCATTTTTTGGGTTAGCTTTGGTAGTGGAAAGCTGGACCCCAAAGTACACAAAATCAGTTGTTAAAATCCAATCCTATTTTTTTCTGAGGGATCCAGCCTTGGGCAGCAACGGAGGAGAGATAGTGAAAACAATTCAATCACTGGACCCCAATTAGACCAAAATCAGGCGTCAAAATCCAGGGCCATTGATAATTTCTTTTTCTGCCACAATGGTGGCAGCCACTCATGGAACATCTCATCATTCAATGGGAATTCCAGCTCTCGGTAACATTTGAGGTATTGGTAATGGTAATGTCGGGTTGCATTTTTTGGGTTAGCTTTGGTAGTGGAAAGCTGGACCCCAAAGTACACAAAATCAGTTGTCAAAATCCAGGGCCATTAATAATTTCTGTTCCTGCCACATTGGTGGCAGCCATTCATGGAACATCTGAACATCTCATCATTCAATGGGAATTCCAGCTCTCAGTAACATTTGGGGTATTGCTAATGTTGGGTTGCATTTTTTGGGTTAGCTTTGGTAGTGGAAAGCTGGACCCCAAAGTACACAAAAATCAGCTAAAATCCAATCCTATTTTCTTCTGAGGGATCCAGCCTTGGGCATCAATGGAGGAGAGATAGTGAAAACAATTTCAATCACTGGATCCCAATTAGACCAAAATCAGGCATCATAATCCAGGGCCATTAATAAATTCTGTTCCTGCAACATTGGTGTTGCAGCCATTCATGGAACATCTGAACATCTCATAATTTAATGGGAATTCCAGCTCTCAGTAACATTTGGGGTATTGGTAGGGTTGGGTTGCATTTTTTGGGTTCGCTTTGGTAGTGGAAAGCTGGACCCCAAAGTACACAAAAATCGGCTGTAAAAATGCAATCCTATTTTTTTTTCTGAGGGATCCAGCCTTGGCAGCAAGGGAGGAGAGATCTTGAAAACAATTGCAATCACTGGACCCCGACTAGACCAAAATCAGGTGTCAAAATCCAGGGCCATTGATAATTTCTTTTCCAGGGGAGCTCAGCCTTGACAAATGGAGAAAAGGCAGCAAAAACAATGGCGGGCGGCAACCGTTCATGCATCATTTGGACATCTC